CAGAAGTAGGGCAAGATTTGGCTCTGCCATTAATAGTAGACTTATGGCAACTGTTTTACAAACTGTGGGTCTCAATCCTTAGTGGGTTGTGAAATCAACTTGCCGGGTTGAACCAGCATTTAAAAACGAAGAAGAAAACACCAGCATGTATCACACATGATAAGCACTGCTTCATGAAGCTTTCAGTTTGTTGTGTGCATGTGTATGCGTATGTACTAGTCCATGTTATTTCTTACGTGGGTTGCAGGGTTTGAAAAACCACTGGCTTTGGGGAAGCCATGCATAACCTTCTTGAGCCTCAATTTCCTCATATGAGGATGAGTATAATGCCATTACCTTCTCTCTTCATGGAGTTGAGAAAACCAGGTGATTTTTTTGGGAACCTAATACAATGCCAGCTACTTAGGCACTCAAATATTAACTGAAGGAAGAAGGACAGCCAGATAACCAGTCAGATGCATGTGAAATACCTCATATAAATTATGAATTACTGTACCAAAATAAGGAGACGTAGTTGTCGTTAGTAAAAGGATGCATATTAGAAAGGAGTTCAAACAAAGGAACCAGAGCCCTGGGATTTGAATCCCCACTTGACCACTTAGTGACTCTAGGCCTTTAGCGGATGAATGAACCCTTGGGCCTCATTTTCCCCATCTGCAAACTGGGTACACTACGTAATAGTTGTACAGCCTTGTTAGAACGTTGATGAGATGCTGTAGAAACTTAGCTCTTCTTTATATCAATGAGCTATGGTTAAGACTGGTGTTGCTTAAAGCCGCAGAGCCTATGGATGACGCTGAGTGAGGACTTACTGTACTCTGTCCGTGTGGTTGTTGTGAGGATTATATGAGTTTGTAGGTGAAGCTCTTTAAAAAGAGCCAAAGTCTTAGCTGATGCTATTATTTTCTCCAGCGCTGGGAGAGTTGCAGGTTAGGGCTTGCTTTTCTCTATCAACACGCCCTTTGCCTAAGGAGAGGGGAGGCCGCCGTCCTCATCAGCAGCCTGCCACTCTTAGATTCCAAACTTGAGGCTCTCATCTGTCATTGGGCCTAACTTGAGTTTCCGTTTTTTTTTCCAGGAGCAAAGATAACAACAGATTTAGGGGCCAAGACACTCCCTCCCTGCCTCCCTTTTCAAACAGCTCCTGCCCCAAGGGCAAAAACTATGAGACTGGGCCCCTGACAGGTTCTTTCTTGAGCAGAAGCTAGAGCAAGGGAGGGAGGTTACCAGCTGGGAGGCCTGGCCTGTGGCTTGAAGGCTCCAGGAAGAGGGGGCTGGACCCTCCACAGCCACAGCCTCAGATGATAAGCCTCAGAGATAAGGCACCAAGCCCTCCCCCTCCCACCCCACCCTTCTCAGCTAGCCGGTAGCTAAACCCTTTGTTTTGGTGGTGATCTGACAAAGGGGCGGGGCTCAGAGGAGACGAAAATCTGTCCTCCAAGCTCCCTTCTCCTTCTACGCCCTCGGCACCCCACCCCCATTCCCACAACTCTGCTCCTAACGTGTTTCAGTGTTCTCAGCTTAATACTTCCTGAAATGCAAACAACTAGATGTGTGTACCTAAGACTGTGTACACACAGGCACAGACAGGGACGCCACACACAGGCCTCTCAACTCCTGCCCCCTGGTTGCTCGCTGGGCAAAGTCTGGTCACCTGGACCCCTCCAGGTTCCTGGCGGGCTCAGGTGATAAGTGAAATGGGTCTGTCTGGGAGCTTGGGCTGAGGTGGGGGTGGAGGGAGACAAACCCAAATGCATGTAATTCTGCATCTTCCTGACTCTGGGTAATGAGCTGGGCGGGTGCTGCATCTGGCTGCACCATCACCCACAGCACCTCCCACCGCTGGGCATAACTGGCCCTCTTCTCTTAGACTCTCATTCTGGCAGTTTGCTTTCTAGTTTCTAGGCCCACGGCTCTCAGGTTCCTTATCTTTGAAGAGGTTAGCGACGCCCTGCTGCCTGGGTCCCAGGGAGGAGGAGGAGGACAACTAGGTGATAGTGAACAGGCCTCCTTGGCAGCCTCCAGGCCTCTGGGATAGGAGGTGGAGGAAATGGGCCGATTTCTTTTCCCTGTGTTGAAAG